GGCAATCGAAGCGATAAAACAATAAAATTTAGCAATGTTTCATGACTCTTTATGACTCTGGACTTTTGTCGGTGAAAGTTTAAATACAACTTTTAAACTTAACGGTCATTTAAATTACCTAATTGTGCGGCCGTAAAATCAGAACAAAACCTGTTATCTTTACGGATGTGGTTAGTTCCTTATCAAAATCCGTGTTTTATTGATTTACAAAAAAACATAAATTAGTATGTTAATTATTAATAAATATTATATGGGTATAATGAATTTTATATAACGATTATTATAACAGCTTTTTGAACAAAATTAGGAAAAAACAACATGGTAATAAATAGGAATAAAATTAACAAACTATAAAAATAAACAATAGCATAGTATTACTATTTTTAAGGAGTTTCAGTTAATTAACGAACTAAACTGTCTATAATATTCATAATAATTATTATTAAGTATGTTTTGTTTAATTTAGGGTCTACAGAACAGCACATATAACTTCGTCTTAAAGGAATGCCTTCGGCCTAACGAAATATATATATATATATATATATATATATATAGTTAGCTATAGTTTCGGCTAGTTCTAAGTTTTTGACAGTTTCAACTCAACCAATTTTCAATTTGAGTTTTTCACAGCTTCTATTGAAACGATGTCCGTGCTTCCGTTTTGTCCCAAATACGCATATTCTGCCTGATTGTCTGGTGATTCAACAAAATAGAAAGTTACAATATGTAAAATCGAATAGTTAATTAATAGTAGTAGTAACAACTATTTGATTTCACGTATTGTTCGTGCTAATGGTACTTTACTCGATTGGAGCTGCTAAGGACCTGAGGGTAAGATTCAGAAACGACAGCGCTAAATCTCTTTTCCGAATCTAGGCCTGAGTGTGTTAGTACTTCAAATCTAAGCAAGTTAAGTAAAATAGCAAGGCACCCGACTTTTGTTGTAAATCGTTCGGAATTGATGATTATCGACTAGGCCTGTTTTTATTTCTTTCATTCATATTTAGAAGTTATTAGATAATAGTAACATTAAAATTTCTGACCTCTTTTATATTATCATTATCGTACGTATGTGGGCGTGGGAGCATTTAATATCAAATATGGTCCCACGGCATACTAGATTTACTTCGGTATTTGTTTGTTATAAATATAATGAAATCTCATTACGAACAAAATTTAAGTTCATATAAGTTGATAAAACAGTGTTGAACTGACCGCCTTGCACTGATGTTCTTTTCATTGTGCGTAGATAACACTTACTCGGTACGCACAACGGACCTAGTAAGAGTCTAAGCGTGATGAAACCGATGTCTTAGACTGAAAAATCGATGGCGTTTGTGGGCACAATTAGCTACCCTTTTTTCTTGTTCGAGTTGATTTTAGTTTATGGTTGAAAAAAATCATAGCAGCTAATATCCGTCTTGCGCAGGTTACTTATAAGCCTTAGGAGTAACTCTTACTGATTATCACATAAAGCCAGCCTCCAGGAAGTGTGGAAATGTGGCACGTGTGGTAGAAATTTCAGGTAGGTACCTTCCATGTGCAAACATAAAAAATATCTTCGCTATCATTCAATATTTTACATGATTAAATGTACATTTTTAGCGGTTTTAATTTAATTCTTAGATAATAAACTTTATGGAAAATGTAAAAGAGACAAGATAATTTAACCTAAGCTGTTCGTAAGATTCGGAAGTAATGAAAAACAGAATTTGAAAAGGTTTTGATGCCTGTATATTACTGTGCATGAAATACGCATGTCAAACCTGGTCACTCACTGATAAACAAGAAAACAAACTGAGATTATGTCAGAATAGTATCGAAAGGAGTGTTCTAGGTCTAAAATTGAAAGATAGAGTAAAACTAGAAGAAATAAAGGACTTGACAAAGTTTAGAAATGCTGTTACTTCTAGTAAAAGATTGAAATGGAAATGGACAGGACACAGTATGTGAGAAGATAAAGGTAAATATAAATGTGTAAATGTTCTATAGAGCGGTGAGGCTAAGTAGGTACTTATCGGACAGCCCTCGTAGAACGTAGCATAAGTATGTAAAGTTCAAGATGGAGTCTGCTGAAGTTGTTCATGCATCTTTTAGTACTGTAAGGCACGAGATATGAACCGTTGACCAATACCTACTACATACTAGCTAACAATTTGTTTGGTAATACAAAATGTTCCAGAATTTATAAACATTTACATATGTACAATGTACATAGATACAAAACTAAAGAAAATTTATTAGCTAAAAGTTTATTATGTTCATGTTATATTTAATAATAAGGAACGACGACACGAGGTAGTGAATTCAAGACTAACGTATATAATATGCCTGTATTTTTTTCTTCAATTATTATAAAAAGGCAATTTAAACAAGACTTAATGGAAGTTCAGTATTAGATTCATTAGTGCGTGTGTGTGTCTGAAGGGCGCGTAGGGCGTAGGCCCTTTGAACAAAACGTCGCGCGATGCAAAGATCAAACGACTATTTCATGACACGTGCTGCCATTTTGATGTAATGAAGACGTGACAATGCAGATAAGAGTTATGAGTTTATTATATTTATACGTACTTTTCGTTAAATTCAGTCGAATAATTTGTCATTAAGCTGGAGTCTGTACAACACAATAACAGTATTTACCGTTGACATATAGGTAGCCTATTCCTCCTCCTTGGTGTCAAGTTTTCAGTGAGTAAATTTTTAAGCCTATTTCTGCCTATGTAATTGTCTCGGATTAAAACGCACAGGCTGCTGATTGCCTTCATAATACTTGCCTTTCATGAAAAATTATCTACTAAACGGTAATAAACGACACAGATATGAGTTTTCTCCAATAAAATATAAAATATGAACCCCTAAATGAAACGAATTTAATTCTATCTATATAGTTAAACTGAAAACAAAAATCGCTACAATTTACTTGTCCTGCTCGCATGTTTCTGTATTTTTTTTGTTTTTTTGTTTTTGTATAGACTAGGTGATCAGCCTTCTGCGTACACTCCCAATCGGTTTTTGGCTCCGCTCCGTTTTCCTCACAATCGTCCACGTACATCCGCCCACAGCCGCGATACAAAGTTTGCAGATGCGCCTACTAGCCACAAGAGTAACAGTGCCCTGTAAGTATTAGGATTTCTATTTTAATAATTCCCATTAATATTCGAAAGAGCAAGTTTGACTGACTATTCAATCTAATGCTTTAACATTTGAAACACCTTTTGTTATTTCTAACAAAATATGTCAAAGAACATCGTAAATTGTTGCTTTTATCTCAGTCGGCACAAACGTAACAGTTTAAATAGAAAACATAACAACAAAAGCGACACTTAGCGAGGCGTTATCAAGGATCGATCGCTCATGATGCCTTTATTTAAACATTTGATACATTTCCAACACTCGTCGCCGCCTTTTGTGATTATGTTAAAAGCTTCAAAGACTTACGTGTAATAGATCTCTTGATGTTATCTTAGGAATTACTTTTAATTTATTGTTCTGTTTGACGGATTTTCACGTGTATGTGACACGAAAAAAGCGACTGTCGTACGGAAATAGATATATATGTGTAATGTGTATACCTAGATTATATAGGTGATCGAGCATTAATGTCCATTAATTGAACAATAAGATATAGGTAAACAGTGAAACTAGCGTCTTTTCCACATACTAACAAACAAAATTAAATAAACATCTGTAAAATCAAATTGATAATTAATAATCTAATTTAAGAAATATAATTATTTCTTAACATATACCTATATAATGTATAATAGTGTATGATTGGACACATAATTTCCCGTCGTTCCATAACTGAGAGTTTCTTAAGGCAGTTTCAGCACCGCCACTATGTGGAACCAGCTGCCCTCTAAAGTATTTCCGGACCAACTCGACTTAGGGTCCTTTAAGAAAAGACCGTACCAATTCTTAAAAGGCGGGCAACGCACTCGCGAGCTCTCTGGCATGGTGTGTCCGTGGGCGGCGGTTATCTGTGGTATCACTTAACATCAGATAAGACAGAAAACCAGAAGGTTCTTATCAAACACCTTTTTTATAATCAAACGTACTTACTGAAATTCATGCCCTTTTTCGGCAGCCTGTAGGTATTTTAACCATAACAATGTCATAGAACAGGAACTTAAATTAAACTTTAGGTATAAAAAATAATGAAACTCATTTAAATTTACTGTAAAACAGGTCAAGAACTAAACTTTTAAAATATATTTATTGTTTAGTACCTTATTATGTATTACTAAAATTATTCTATACCCACTCATAAATTGAATTATCTAATAGATTTTAATATCAGAAAAAAATAACAATATTCTTACCTTTTATCCTTATAAGGCTCTCAGATCTCAAAGTTACGTATAACTGAATTTAAAACCTATTAATATTTAAAATACATAAATGAATATAAAAAACGCAATTGTACAATGTGAACCCATTTGCAAAACTGAAACACATTTTATTTTATAACATTACGTAGTGAATAAAATATATTATTAGATTGTTAGATGCTTAGTGAGGCTTAAAATATCGAATTTCGTATCCTGGGATCATGCTCCCCCTATACATAAGCTATATTTATCTTACAAAGGAACAAAACATGATACAGTACATAAAACACTCGAATTGACAGAGCATAATGCCCATCATTATAAATTCATATGCTTTGTTACTTACAGTATTTATTTGAAACATTTCGAGGGGAGAAAACCCTCTTTCCGCCTGATAGCTCCCGAAATTACGCAAAGAAGGCGTTTGACTGTGTGGGGCGGGAATGGAACGTTTGGTATTGGTCGGGCGGCGCCCCTCCATTGGGAAACCCCGCCTCAAAGGAATCTCTGTGACTCTGTCCCTACAGTCATACATGATACAGTGCTACGGACCTCATTCAGTGGTCGTAAGCCGTTGTGTCGAGTCGTGTATTGATTCCATTTCGCGTCGTCGACAGTTTACAGTGTTATAGTTCGAGTAATGCTAAGTGTGTTGTGAACATTAATGTTATGCACGCAATGAGTGATCCTGCGTCCCTCGCCGGAATGTTACCTTTTGACTCCATTGGGCTCTATGAGCAGCCTAAACCGAGGTTTATATTTAAGATGCCGCGAGTGGTTCCCGATCAGAAGGCGAAGTTCGAATCTGATGATCTCTTTAAAAGACTGAGCAGGGAAAGCGAGGTAAATTTGCTAAATTTTCCAGATGATGTGCGTTCCTTTAACACTTAAAATATACGGAAGGACTTATGTATTCTCTTTTTTTATGGTAGACAGATGTTAGTCTTAATTAAATATTATCAACCTGAAAATTATAAAATAGCTTTTATTCTGGTCACATTTTCCTTAATTATAGATGATTATGGTTATGGTTGGTGGACTCATTTGCCGCTCTTAGACCCTTTAATATTGAATAGGTATTCATAATTTTGTGACATGAAATGTATTTTACTCATATTAAGTATATTATTTTTGGGTTCGTCATAACTAAAACATGAAAACTGTAGTGTTAAAACAAATTGCTAATCCCTCGGATATCGCAAGAAGTAAAAACTAAATTCTGTGGTTTCTAGGTTAGGTACACAGGCTACCGTGACCGCCCCCCAGAAGAAAGACAGATGCGTTTTACCAGCGGCTGTCGTGAGGGTCACACCGAAATCGCCTTCACTGCCACCGGAACCAACCTCCAACTTGTATTCGATCATTCGCCATACAACAACCGGGGCTGTGACTTCCAGAAAGAAAACGGCAAAGTAAGTTATAGTTTTCTTTAAAAGGAGCTTAGTCCATTGAAACCTACTAGCTTAGTAGCAAATTAATTTCACTAATTATTTCAATATTCACATTTTTGAACACAATAATAGGGTTCAATAAATCCACTTGCTTCTATAGCTCAGTGTCGCTGAGTTTTTATTTCCTCGGACATAGACCAACTAAGTACCTAGATTTTATTTTCTTATACTTACCTAATCACAATACATATCTGCATTAGAAGACTTGGCAAAGTTGTATATTTATTATGTTGGTCATAAGTCAGAAATACAATGGCAGATAGAGCAATTTAAAACTTGTTTACAGTTACGAAATATTTCCTCATAAGTAATGACTAACATTAATTAGTTACCAGTTTCATTAACTGGCTAATAAAATAGTGCGAGATGGATTCCGCTATGATTTAACTACTAGCTGATATCGTTATTACATCAATTACGTTATTATATTTATTCATTTTCAACCTTTAAAAAGTTAATTAACGCAACAAAAAAATATAAAATTGAATTTAGATTGTAATACATTATATATTGCTTATGACATTCATTTGTTGCTGTCTATGGTTTTATATGACCATGGTCTTTTCGTCGTTAACCGCTCGGGCCGGGCTATTACGTCCAACTGTTGTCTGGGTATCGTGCTTGGTGTCCTGTCAAAGACCATTTTAGAAGAGAGAGAACAATTTTAGAGGCGTATTAGATTAGTATAGAATAACGTAGTACCTGGTAGCACACTATTAATCTTAACACAATTATTGTTACTTAAATTATATCTAATATTAATTTATTGACGAATAAGAAAAATTATAAATATATTAGAAGATTTTTAATATACTATAGCTTACATACGTACGTACTACGTAGGTACTATAGCTTACTTTTATCGGAAGCCCGGAAGGAAAATATAAAATATTTTTTATTTTAAAAATCTCGTTATAAATGAATTTCAAGTAAAAATTTTCTTCATATGAATTTATTATTTTAGAAGTGATATTCACAATTTTTAGTAACGTGAGTAATAAATGGCCTTAATAAAATGAGTCACTTCAACGCGAAGGCTTGCAACGTAATGACTATCGGAGCCATAGCTGCTAATGACTTAATTTCTCTTATCAAGTACCGGCTACGAAAATTAAGACATAAATAACAGAACAAAAAACATAATACCATACATAAAACGCCGGTCACGCACTGTAGCTAATTCATGTTGAATGAACGACATCTTTTCTACTCCGTTGAATGTTCCGGTTCACTTAATGTATAGGCATGTGAGTGCATTAATAGTTTAAGGTATTTGGGGAATATCATCTATTATATACTATAAACCAGCTTAAAAGGTATTTCAAAAGGAGGAACAGCGCAGGAGTTGTTTTATAAGAATTCTGCGTATAATGTTATGAAAATGCTCATAATGTATTAGGCACCATATTTAAACTTAATTAAATACTACACTACTACTTCTTTAAAGAATTGAAATTAGAAATAATAGGGTACATTATTAACAAAACCTTTCATCTAATTAAACATAGCTTAATTCGCGTTTCTATAATGTGTAGTATCAGAGTCTTGCGTGACAAAACAGTGACACTACAACCTTTCAGGTCACGTCCGAGCCTCAGATGTCTGTATGTAAAACAAATGATCACGAAACAGTCGTCATCACTTGTTTTTTCTAACAGGCAAGTAGGTGATCAGCTTCCTGTGCCTGACACGCCCCGTCTGCTTTTTGGGTATACGATATGACAATTTTCTGACGATGTTTTCTTTCAACGTACAAATTCACACGTACACAGAAAGTCAATTGGTGCACAGCCCGGGCCAACTTACGACCTCAGGGAAGAAAGTCACACCTACAGTACCTACAGAGGTACATTGCGTAAACCAATGCGCACCACAATGTTTGTACTATTTTGTGTCAAGCAAATCCAACGGCTCAGTTACGATACTGTTCACTTTTCGATAATATGCTGTAAATATTTAGAACCGTAAAAAGTACTAGTTATTAATTTTATGTTATGAGTTATGCCTGAGAAAATTACAGAAGGCAGGCATCGAAATGCTAGCACTTGAGAAACCCATTTGATGGAAAGTTTTATTGAATTTGGCCCCTTCGTTACGCACAGGCCTCCCGCTGCGCTTCTATGAATACTTATATTTATTTACACTTGGTTCATTTAACATTACAGACGAGTGTGCACTGGCCCTCTTCTTTTAAATTTAATAAAATTTTCCTCTTGTATGTAAAGGTTGATAGAAATTAGTTTTCTTCGCTCGCTTGTGAGGTTTTGGTAGAGAATAAGTACAGTAACAAAGTTTCTCGTAAACCCTTGCTCATATAGCGGTTTTTATAAGGTACGCAACGCGTTAGGTGCAAAGTTTCTCTAAGTCCGTTAGAAAACTATATTAACAATTAAAAACAGCTTTAATAAGTTTCAATTGATTAGTGAATAGGCGATGTTCAAGTAGGCTTGGCTAGGCTATTAATATAAATAAAACATATAATTATGAAGAAACGATGTAATAGATCACATTTGACTTCTGTCAGGTTTAGCTTCATGGGGGTTCACTGAAGCATCATTCCAACGACGTTCAGTTCACTCTTTAGAACAGAAATTATTTACTATGTTTAGAATAGTTTATTAGTGAAACTTATTGTCGTTATTACAATAAATCTGTGAAAAAAAAATAAGCAATGGTTCAGTTCCATCTTAAAAAAAAATATTATTATATTGCGTTAACCAATTTTTACTTAGTTTATTACTTTCTTTGATATATATTTATTTAGTTGAATAAAATCATTTTATTGTTACCAATACAGTTAATATTATTAGTAGGTACTTAACTATTTATAAAGATTTATTTAATGGCGTAAAAGAACATTGTATTTAGTAAGTAAGTTAGTAATAAGCTGTAAATCTTTCTCAATAAATAAAATAAAAAATATAATTACTATATGTACATTAATATATAATTATCGCCGTTACAGGGTTACGGTAATTTTAATGTCAATTCATGTGATCTATTTAAACTGTAATTTGCCTTGTACTACACCTTGTAATGCTATTTTTATATTTATTTATTAATGATAAAAATCTACAGCCTTCCCTAAATTTTTAGACCTTACATTTAGTTGTGACATATGACCAATTAGAGATCTTTGTTAAATTAAGTTCAAGCTTTATTTATGTTTCTTTGAATTTTTATATTTAATTTCCTCCGGAGATACTAACCGATATAGTCTTTAAAAAATCACTTCGTCAAGTAAAAAATTTCTACGCTAGGTATAGCTAATATAAGTCTGTAGTAGGTTCTCGGTAGTCTAATTACCGCACATGTCTACTAATATTATTTTTCTTCTTAACTTTTGGAGTATTTCATTTTCTCTTATTATTCTATGCGTAGAATCTAAAATACGCACCAAGGTATATAAATGCCTCCATTGTATAGTACCAGTGGAAAATCAATACGGAAAAGCCCTCGAAGGGTGGAAGTGGAAAGCTCCGCCCGCCCAACAAGATGGCCGCCGATCGTTTTCATTTTCCCCTTCTGTCCTCACCAGCCTTCTGATAACTAAGCAGTTAGGAACGTAAAGTTTAATAGATTTACTAGATACAGCGTTCGTTTCAAACAGTATAAACTACACATTCATATTATATTTCCAAATGTATAGGCATTGCAATATTGCAGGCAACAGGAAGTATAATATGCATATACTATACTCCCCAAATAACGCTAGATGATAATAATAATACGTTTACAGATATGTATTCTAACCGCATCAAGTATTATTTAAAATTAGGTTTTTAGATATATATCTAAATATCACTGTTAAAGCGCGAAGCGTCGTGTATAAATAATTTCAAAGAAAGTTTTTTATGCCTAATTATCTCGAGTATGCCAGAAGACAATTTATTGAGCCTTGAAAAAAGACCATGATTTTGGTAGTGTTATGATCTGTACCAATGACATTATTTATTATTTATTTAGATATAAAGTTTAATTAAAATGGTTTGTATTCTTCAAAACAGCCATACGGTTAGCATAGGGTTTGTTAAAATGGTGCTCTGTGGTTATTATTATAATTACTTAAGTTGAGGCTTAATAATTAAATATTATATATAAGTATTGTAAAGAGCGGATGTCGAAACAAGCACGCAATACTTTACGTCTGCCTTCTGTCGTTTTAAACCATGCACTTTAAAAAAAAATAAACTAATAAATACAGTATACATATATGCAGTATTTTTGAATATGGAAGGTACCATAACCCTTTGCATGCATTCCTAATTCAAAATTATTTTGTATTTCAATAACGAATAAATAAAATATTTCTATGGATAACGACTGCCGGTTGGGGCAATGTTTTTATGTTAAAATTTACGATTCTAAGAAATTGCGACCTGTATTTTGAACTTAGAAACCGGACATAAATCAATGCATTCATTGCCTAATCTTAAAAATATATAGTAAAAATCATATATAAATGCAATGCCATGTAAATTAAATGTTCTTCCTACGATATGTCTTCACCGATAGGGTAATTACTTTAACATAAGAAAAAACTAGGTAGACTGAGCTATGGAGGCAATTATAAACCTTTTTCGGCAAACTAATTAATCATCAAAACCGTCTACAGTCAATGACAAATGCTTCCTTCGTCCACCACCTACATCGATATTTTTTGCGCCTCTTTTTGTTTTCTAGGAATTAATATAGACCTTTTTTTACAGGCTCACATCATATCCCGGTTCATAATGAATGGAGTGTGCGTGAGATGGCGGGGATGGATCGATTTGGAACGTCTGGACGGTGCAGGGTGTCTTGAACTCGACGAAGAACGCGCCGCTATTGAAGATGCAGCATTGCGTGACCAAATAGAACGTTATAATCAGAGGCTGCGTGACTTTGAAGATAAACAGCGCGCTTACAGAGAACACGGCGAGGATATGCGTGGTCACTCGCAGGTTCCATGGCGTTCAGCGTTGTCACCCGGGAAGGCAACCACCTCACGCACCGCATCCATCCCATCCACATCCCTCACACCCTGTACACATAAAACCTCACTCTCAGGGTGCGCTCATATCGTAAACTCATCTTAATATTTCCATTGAAAGCTATACAGATTGTCAAGCAATCAATTTTGGATGCATACCTTAATGTACCTTAGATGAAGAAAGTATTGCAATCGTAGTTATAAGATTTTTGTAGCGGTATAAAAGTCTTTTGTATTCACCATAAGCGCGATGTCTCGTAGTATGGATTGGGCCTATCAAAAGTTATTGGTAAAGTTATTGGCCTAGTTTAACGTTTAAGCTATTTGTACCAATCATTTGAATGATTCTTTCGATAAGATTTAATGACATGTATAGGAAGTTCCTATTAGGATCCTACGAAAAAAGATAGCAGATTTTTGTTAGATGATTTTTTTTTTTAACTTTCAAACTATAGAGTTCGACATTATTTGTAGATACTTTCTGAAATTACGAAAATTATTTGTATGTTTAAAGTTATATTACATTGATTTAGTTGTGTTATTTAATTTTAAGATAATTTGTTTATTAAATGTGATAGTAATGTGAATAAATATGTATAATTTTTGAGATTGGTTTTTATTTTTTATCCGTTATTTTTTACGCAATAGTATTGAGTAATGCGGTATCCGTATAGTTAATAGGAATGCTTTCATTGCTTTTATAACAGATCATTTTTGAACTATTTACCATTTTTAAATACTAGGCGTTGGTACAATGTGCCTATTTAAAATTAATTACATATATAAATAACGTCTTTGAAGCCTTGAGCCCTCAAACTAAGCAGTAATCTGTGCCAGTACTTATGCCAGACGTTCATATAAGCATTGTACGTAAAAAGAATTTCCATTGGCGCACAGCCGGGATTCAAAAAAAACCCCAAGGTTTGAGAATGGCAACAGATTGCTCTTTATTTAATATTAGTAAAGGTTTTTAATAACACCTGCACACGCACATTAATAACACTTTTTTTGTAAAGGCTTTTAATAACGTAACAGTGTTTTACAATTGTAATTTCCGATGTAAATGGCGGTCTCAGGAGTGTCTGCCTTTAAAGTCTCATAAAATGCAAAATACTTGCTACTACCTATTAAAATATAATGATAAGAATAATTACTTTAACAAATTAATATTTTTAACAAGTGAAAATATTAGCCTATACAGCAGAGTTTCCCAGTTGTGCACCTTACCCTTCCTAAAATTCTTATGAAATATTATGTATAACATACATAATTTTTAATATCTAAAATTTAATGGCTGACTTAAGAACCTTTGAGATTTAACGAAACACAGAAAGTAGATTTTAAAACATAAAATGAAAAACTGTAATTCCAAATAACCCCTTTAAAAAAAAATTTCGAAATTTTCTTAACAATGAAATTGTCCCCCTATGGAGCGTGGGCCCCACCTTGGGAAACACTGCTATACAGCCTTTTATGCCTCCTATGACATAATACATATAGAACGTTTTACGTTATTATAAGTTTTAAAGTTTCTGAATACCTCCCTTAAACGTAAACGAAACTTATACTTTTATTTACAATTTGGAGAGGTAGCCGTGTTAGGCCGTGATATAATTATTCTCGTAGCAATGAGTTACAACGTCAATATGTTCAAGTATCGATCATTTTAAATATCTCTTCAGTCCGTCCGATTTTGAAAATGGTGGAAAAGTGTTGATTGAGTCAACCTTTGATTTTATAATAATATGAAACTTACTATTATTATACATAGTTTCTTGGCAAAGACATGCAAAATTAGTCTCATGGGCTATTCATGTACATACAAAAGCTAATAAAAAGGGATGTGGTCGTAATTACTTGCAAATTATTATAATTTTACTGATTTTCACAACAGTGTTAATAAATATTATATAATTTTGTTAATTTAAATTTTAGGTATATAAATTTTCATAAACCACTTAGCCAAGTCAATTAGGCACATTATTTTTGCTTTCTATTTAATAACATATTATTGGTTATAAACACACTTAAAACCGTTATAAAAACTAACTTAAACGCATTTTTAAGTTAGTTGTAGATAGATATGTTTTATTGTAAATGATATTGATTTTTTTCTGTGAAATCCTTGTGTTTTATCTGTGAATATCCGTGTTTATCTAGATTTTGAAGTAAATAAACTGTATAAACCGTTCAAGATCAGGTAAAAATCCCTTATGGATTCCTGATAAAATAGCAATTAAGTGCTATTAGGCAATCCAACACATGTTATTGAGCAGGGCTGTTGCACGCACGCGCAACGCACCTGTGCGAACCCTCCACCCTCACCTTATTTTGTAATTTACTAAGGAAATGCACCGCTTGTTAAACATGAGCTTAATTGCTGTTTAAATGTTTTTAATTAATCATTAAACAGTGAACCGTAAAATATACACTTCGCGGCTCAATGGGTTTAAAGTATTTAAAAAATATATCCTCCCTTTTTAAAACGCGGGAATCTATTTGTTATATATTAAAATAGAATGTGCAGACCAATGAATAGCAAATTAAATGTGTTCATATAAAAGAAATAGAAGCACATATATGTATAGAAAAAAAACAACTGAAAGTTTCCTAAGGCACTTTCTACCGCGCACCATAACTATGTGGAACCGTCGAGAAATAGCCAAACCAATATGACTTAGGATCTTTCAAGAAAAGAGATTCACTGAAGTGACCGAAAGCGCCAATTTTAGCATGTTGACGTATCACGATCAGTCGTATCGTATCTAGTATCTGTATCATAATATGGCCATTGTCCATGTCGTAATTTAAGGCGTATCTTGTAAAAAACGCGTCCATACTTATCAAATGCTGTATAGTAGTGTATCGGCTTTAACTTTACAAAAAGACGCTTCACTTTTCTTCCGATGTATCATGATGGGTGTCTTTCAGTGCACCTTTCCCTTCTCGCAATGTTCAGTCATGTCTTCGTTCCCAAACGGTTTTAACCATGTCAGCAATTGCTCACAGTTTGGCGGTGACTAGCGCCTGTTATATTATCATTAATAGTATTTTAAAAAAATTATAGACGTAGACGGCGCTGGAAGTGTTTAGAAACCGAAACAAACATGGTGGGGGGAATACCATTGATGCGAGATTTAAAATTTCAGTATACCAGCGGAAAATACAAAAATTTCACTCGCTTCACCCATTGATGTTGTGTATTCCCTTTGATGATGCGAAAAACCGACAAGGATGGTTCGCGGTGTATCAAGTATCGTATCGCGATACAGTATCGTGATACAGTATCAAAATACGTCCATACCACCGATCGTGATACGCGTATCGGATACGAGGTGTATAAAGATACGCGCTTAGTGCGGATCGGGCCGTATCAGATACGGCATGTATCATAAACGGGTATATTTGGTCCAAACTAACGATCAGATACGCGCCGAAGCCACGCAACGGAGATACGATACACCGAAATGCTACAAATGTGGACCCAGCTTAAGGCACTTTCTACCGCGCACCATAACTATGTGGAACCGTCGAGGAATAGCCAAACCAATATGACTTAGGATCTTTCAAGAAAAGAGATTCCTAGGTGACCTAAGAGCCTTTTGGCAGAGTTAATGTCGAGGAGCGGTGATGTCAGGTGAGGCTCCTGTGTGTGTTTTATAAAATAAATACTTATTGCCGATCTAGTATCGAGTATTTTAGGTGGACTAAGTCGGAGACTCATGGATATTTGCACTAGTACTGTAAAACACACACACACAAAATAGTTTATTAAATTCTTAAACTAACTTTTTATCTTGAACAATATTTTATTGTGACAAAACCTTACAATCTCAACCCTCAGTAGTAAGATGCAAGCCATCCGATAAAACACTTTGTAAGCGAAATCTTTTGTCAAAGCAACGTTCAAAAAACAGAATTAAATTTTACGCGGAACTAAGCTTTACATTATCATTCATCTTATCATTTGATTTTATCTTTTATTGTGACGCTAGACACCTTCCCGGTCAAACAAGCAGGTACCTCGGACATCGATGACAGCAAAAAACTCCATATTCACAATGAACCCGTGATTTATCGGTGCATTTTGTGCAAAAAACTCAGGTCAGTTAAGAAGCACTAAAAGAGCATTTTGTGTAATCCGCGTGGAGCGTGGGAACGATATGGCTTGTTGCCCGCATCCGATTAGGTTATCATACTTTTTTTGTTAAACAAAATGTACAACAGAGAGGATTCAATTTGACCAAAATTAAAACATGTTTATATGCCATTTTTTTAAGAAATACTTACTGCTTTTATTCAATGTAATTTTGCCACTTCAGCAATTGTATCTACGAATAGTTATAATCAAATAGGTATGCCCAATGAACCTAATAAAGCGCAACATAGACACATTCTTGCGTCCGAATTTATTAGATCTTTTACAATGCTAGTGCATTATTAGCCAAAAGAAAATCCCTAGTAATCGAACCCATACACTCAGGGTGCGAATCAAGACGCAGAGGCAGCGAACTTTATATGCATACAGCCTGTATTAAATAGATTATAGTCTTTTCGAAGGAGTTGAAATTCGATATAAATTAAACCAGTCTCGTCGCCGTGCTCATATCACGCATGACTTGATGTAACTCGGATGCTTTGAAAACTTATAAGATGCACTTGTAAGTCTTCACAAGACAAGGGTTAACAACGAGACAAAGATAAAAAACTGAATTCTTTCCTCCGTCACTATATGCATACTCCAGAGGTTCGCGTTTTGATTCCTGGCAAAAATTATGACCGTTGGTCAAAAACAAATGAATGATGAAATAAAGAAACACCTGTTCTCTATTGAGTTCTTATCAGTAGACACAACCCCAACAAATGTCATGTATAACTTAATAAGATATACTATAAACACACATTAACTTCAATGAGATAATAATTAATCTAGCACAATTTTTAATAACTATTTTATTTATATTACATTGGGTATCTTTGTACCGAAGTGCCATAGTCACTATCGGACAACTCAGCTGTCATTTTCCTTTTAATTAAACTAAATTTATCGGAAACTAATTATAATGGTTAGCGCTTACCTAATGAGGAAAATAAA